CCCTTTTTTCTACTCTCAATGAAATAGGAATTTGGAGCAAGTGAGTGGCACAAGAACTTTATTAAATCCTATGCATCTGTCTTCCTCTTTTCTTCCATACATGCTGAATTCTTCCAGTTTTCTCTGAACAAGTCATTAGAGAATGAAGTATTTGCACCTGATCTCAAGGTTATTAGACACAAGTATTTTAGCTTTCCAGTCAGATCATTGCTGTAGGATGTTGTACCACTTTTGAAGACTAATAAAATTGCATGTGTCCTGTTGAACACTCTTTTTAAGCAAGAACTTAATGCCATCTTACTACTTGAAGTGGCTAAGAAGGCTTTCCCCTCAGGCCAGATGTCCATCATCTGAGCCATGCTAAGTAGACTCGCTTAATGGAATATGTGTTGATAACCTGCTGTAAAAATGACATGTTCAACATCCTTACATATACTACAGCTATATATATATATAGCAGAAACAATTTGTTTTGCTTTTTCCTTCCCAAAGGCCAAGGAGGCCCTTGCTGAGACACCATCTGACATTATTAGTAACCCTGTTATAAAGTTGTTTTTCTTGGAGTTATGTCTATATATTAATCAGCAGGAACAAAGCCTCTTGTGCATGAACTGAGGAAACTAAAAGCAGATGTGTTGATAGTGACATCATAGTCTTGCTGATAGGCTGGAGAAATGGATGTGTTTCTTCAAATCAGACTTTCTGCTGCTCCTGGAGGAGCTGATGGGGAGATGGTTTCTTTTCTTAGTTGTCCATTCTGTGAGCTGGGAGGCCTGTAAAGCAATGCTCCTGTTACCAGTTCTAGAGACCTTCCTATACTACCACAAATCTTCATATTTTTTTTTCTTGTAACTGAGTTTATACATTGTTATTTTAGCTGGACAAGAAAAGCTTTTTGTTACAGTTATTAGCGCTGTCTGCTAACACCTAAGTTTTCCTGACCAGCATTATGGCTTTCTGTCTTGCTGCTCTGTAATACTTCACTGTTGTCATCAGTCAGATGAAATAATGTATTGATTACTTCTGGGGCACCTGGCTAACATGGAGACTTGAGATAACACAACAAAGGCTTCTATTATTTATAAGTTCTTTTGGTACTATGAGTTCTATTTCCAAGAAAGATTAGTTTAGATAAAAGGTTTCTTGCTCTCTTATTTGATCAGACTTAAAGTTTATCTAATATGCCACTTCAAATGACAGGCTAAAACTTTTATGCTAGATCTTCCATTAAGGTTCTTGGGTGAATTACACGTGTTTTTGTCAGATGTTCTCTGCATCAATTTCAACAATTTGTAGGAAAATAAATATAATCACTTTGTTATTCCTGAAGGTCTTTTTTGCTTTAGATAGGAGAGGAATTTAATAGAAAGCAATGAAAAAGTGTTCGGGAATATAGTCTTACAAACAATTGTGGTAGAGTGTCTAAAGCAGAACTATTCTTTAAACACTAGACAGCTTTGTTAGTGTTGCAAACAGTTTTTTAAGGAGCGTAATACTGAATTCAATACATGTTGAAAGTATTGTGTCTAAATACTTAATAATTAGGTGGTTGGGTTATTTTCCCTGCTCCAGTCAATATATAACATGCCTACTCTCATTATGTGCATTTGCATACTTCCTCCTGTTTACAAAGAATTTCACAACATAATTTTACATCTTACTTCTTGTGTACCCACATCTGCAATAACATTTGGTATCCTTTGGCCAAATTGCTTCCTCTATGAAACAGTCCCCTTTACCCAAACTGGAGTTGGAATGTGTCTCGTAGAAGAAAATATTAATTGGATTGTTTGCTACCTTCTTCCCCTGGAAAAAAAGCTGTCCAGGCAGTTCAGGAGACGGCAGAAAACAGCCAGTCTTAAAATGATCATCTCTGACGTGCTCTAAGGAGATTTTAATGCCATAAAATCTGTGTTAACATTCAACTTGGGTTCTAATTCAGAAACTGTCAGCTCCCTACATGTTGAAATTGTTCTTTTTATGTCCAGTATTCCTGCTATTTAAGTCATACTTCCTCCATTAAATCTTCTGAAAGTGACAGAGGACTCACTGCTGTTTTCTTTTAACATATAGGCTCGTGTTATGTACGACTTTGCTGCTGAGCCTGGAAACAACGAGCTGACCGTCAGTGAAGGGGAGATCATCACAATTACCAACCCGGTAAGAGAAATTAAACAGGGCTTCAGTGCACTGTCCTGACCTACTTCCAGCAAATGAAGGAAAAGATGTTCTAGGTGGCATCTGAAATCCCTGTCTACCTTCCTCTGAAGTAGCACATGAACTGAACCCAAAGAATTTTCCAGCGGTGTTGTGGTAAGAAATACAATGAGCAAAATTCTGCAGAATGGAGGCCCTGTCAGAATTTGCCTACACACTTTGGAATTTTTTGCTTGACTTTTTTCATCTAAGTAGCACTGAGTGCCAAGGCAGAAGGGTGAGCTAGTGATGCTGATGCGTTTTACATCTGTGTGTGTACACTCTCCTTTTTTCTTTTCCTTCTCTTTAATATTCAGTAATTAAAGCAGTATGTGCCAGGTACAGTGAAGGAGTGGGGAAAATACTGAGATAATGCTGTCAAGGAAATTTTAAATTAATCATATGCTTGAGCAGTGACATTTGATTTATTAATTTCAGCATGCCTTTATAGTTCTTACACTTTAACAAGGTAAGTATAAGTTGATGATGCTTCTGAATCTTCAGTGATACGGCTCAGTGAATTGGCTTTCTTTTTCAAACAAACAAATCTTCATTTTGATGCCAGATTTTATTATCTGATCAATAGGAAGTAAAAAAGCCTAAGCACATTTTTGAAAGAACATAATCATGTATAATCCTAATACTTTTTAGTTCCACTGACCATAAATACTTGAAGCAGACCTTTAGTAGAACCAGCATCGTCTTCAGCAGGATATTTTGTGGGAGCAGAGGTAAATAATAACTAAATCAGGAGTTTAATTTTTTTTTTCCAATGGTCTAAATAAATAGTTCACAGCTTTCAAGCTGGTTTTTCCTGAACAAGCAATTTGTGTGATAAGGCAATATACTCAAAGCGAAGTAGAAACTTATTTCATGCTGTCCATAACTAAACTGTGGGGTAGATTGCAATGAAGACTTTTGGTCTTTTTTGATGTGGTAAGTGTAGAGACAGCAGTAGCAGAAATCATGGAAGTCCATTGATGAGAGACCCGGGACTCTTCAGCCTGGAGAATACTGAGAGGTGATCTCATCCACTTCATAAATATCTGAAGGGCAGAAGTCAAGTGATTGGGGCCAGAATCTTTGCACTGGTGTGCAGTGACAAAACAAGGGGAATGGGCATAAACCAAAATACAGAAAGTTCCTTACAAACACGAGAAGAACTTTCCAATGACAGAGCGCTGGAACAGGGTGTCCAGAGAGGCTGTGGAGTCTCCCTCTCTGGGGATACTCAAGACCCATCTGGACATTTTCCAGTGTGACCTATTGTAAGAAACCCACTTTAGTGGGGGGTTTGACTTGATGATCTCCAGAAGTACTTCCAACCCCTACAGTTCTGTGATTCTGTGACTGCTATTAAGTGCAGTACAGATGTGATTTCTGGCTCAAGATATTATTACTCTTGCAGATTAACCAAACTAGTTGAATTTATAATCTGAGATATCTAGTTGTTTGTGGTGGTGTGTGATCGTTTAGTTCCATAACAAAAAAGCAAATGAAAGTTTATTTCAATAAATTATTGGTCTTTACTATTTTAAATCTTCAAATGCATAACCAACTTCTCTCATCGTGTGCAGGATTGCATAATCTTTTTTAAGTAAGAGAAAAAATATTATGCATAAATAAATACATCAATTAAAAAGCAAATTAAGAACCTGAAATTCAGGAACTGCTGTATAGCGTATATGGTTCCAGTACTCACCTGTGAATGAACTTGACGTGTAACTGTTCAAATAGCAGCTTGATTTTCAACTCAGAGCTATCTTACTCCACATAGCGTTGTCTTGAAATCTACTTTGCTTATCTGCAAATGTATGTGAAATATGTGTTCAGAAAACCAATATCAGGATGCTATGCTAAGATCTGAACTGTCTTAGTTCTTTCCAAGCTGATAGTCTAAGACATGCCTCAGTGATATTAAATGTAGGAGCGTTTCCAGATCTTGTGTGGCAGGTGCCTTTGAACCTTGAGGTTACCATAATGCATAATGTTCTTGTTTTATAGCGGCCACTTATTGGACACATCTGCACCTTCCACAGGTGAAGTCCAGATTATGCAAATGCTACCAACAGCTTAATTCTTTGCATCTTGCCTCTTTATAATGCTGAGTAAAATTAATGTTTTGGAAACAGCACACAAATTATTGCATCTTATGCACAGAGAATTGACTGTGGTTGCACGAATGATCGAAGGTGCTCAAAATCAACTTCTTTCCTCTCATACCTGTTAAACCTAAAGCCCACAGTAGTCCTGTTAAACAAGTATAGTCTGTGTTCTTTTAAATGAATACCTCCTTATTCAGCAGATTTAAGTGAGTTTATTGTAGTCATAACTGTCTTTTGAATCTTGCATTCAGCACTTGACAACAAGACAGTGCTTCCTCCTGAGTTACTTAAAGCATGCTGTAGGATCCATCTAGCAAAACTATTTTTGTATTATTTTTTAGGATGTCGGTGGAGGGTGGTTAGAAGGAAAAAACAGCCAAGGAGAAAGAGGACTTGTCCCAACAGATTATGTTGAGGTGAGTGACTGCATCACTGCGTGCTAAAAAAGCAGAACTACTGAAAAAGCAATCATCTGTTTTGCTGACCAGCTCAAATGTGAAACTTCTAGTATTAATATTCAGAATGTATATTATTGAAACAACTGTAGCTGACTTTGGAGACCATGGCAAAATGTCATCTAAAACTACTGTGCTTCTTAGTGGTTTTCCAAGAAATGCAACATAAGATTAGCCATTGTGAATCCTGGTGATATGCAGAACGTGAGCTGTTTTGAGTTTGCTTCTGGTTTTGTCTCATGATCCAATCATTTTGTTTTCCATTCTTAGAACTAAGATGCAGAAGTAAAGTGAGTAATACAAGTTTTGTATTGCTGTGGATGACATGCTGACACGCCACATGCTCGTGAGATCTCTGGAATAGAAATGCACATCTGGGGCTCAGGGTTTGGGATCGCAAATCCAGGAACTGCTCTGTTTATCTTCCTGAGAGCCTGTAGTGTCTCCTCTGTGTGTTGATCTGCTCTTTGCTTGAAGACTGATGTTATTGGGGTGGGGATGGAACAGATCTGTGAATGTAAAGCGTGGAGTCTCAGTCACCTTTGGAACATAGGTCATCAGCTAGGTCAAGATTTCTGGCTGTAACTCCTCCAGTGTGTCTAAAGCATGTCCTTCTCTTCCTTCACCAGTGCTGTTTATTTTTACAAAGCAAACAAGCAAAAAAACCAAAACAAAACTTGGGGTGGAAGATATGCTGACTTGCATAATCTTGCTTCTTGTATTCATCTGGTTAGCTTCTTAGTAGCTTTTTGCTCTCCTAACTTGTCCCAAACTGATCCTGAATTCCAGGATCTCCAAGCAGTAATGTTAACAACCATGTTAATCCCTAATGAATTTATAGATATGTATCTGCTGCCACGAATGTGTTACACTGTGCTAATGCACTCTGATTCTATCTGTTATGGAAATGAGTCCTCCAGGCTCAACTGTTTGTAAAAGATACTATTGAACTACTACTTGTAAAAGGTACTGTTGAATTTAAATTCAGAAAGGATGTATGCTGCCATCTCAACATCTAATGTTAGAATAATATATGATAAACTTTGTAATTGAATTCAGGGGAGCATAAAAAATCTTCTGCAACTTTTCTCATTTCAGATTATAACCGACGGTACAAAAGATGGAATTAGTTGTGGTAATTCATTAGCTGACCAAGCCTTTTTTGATGCCCTCTCTTCAAATACAGCTCAGACCAGCTCGGCTGCAAAAAGTAGTAATCAGGTAGGTCTCCAGGTGGGCATGGCGGTTCTGTTAATAAAACTGCTTGCATTTCTCAGCTGTGCTGTACCATATTTATGAACCCTCATAGAACTGCTAATAGAAGTAATTATGTTTTCCCTCGGGAATACTTCTGTTGATTATTTATTGTGTGTCTTTTCAGCTACTGTCATTGCTGAAAAAATAAGCATTCTACCACTTCAAAAAATAAAGCATTTTATTTTTTAGAATCTACAACCATGTAAAACTCTGACTAATGTTGTCTCTGTTTGTACCCCAGTCACATGTAAATGAACTCTCACTTTTAGCAGATTTACATTAAGATAAAGTTGCTTGCATTAGTATGCTTACCTTTTTAAGGAACTGTGCTTTTCTTTTTTTAAAAAGTTAGTTAAAAAGTAAAAATAGTTTGCTACTATTGGATGTTCTATGCATCATGAGCCAGAGGTGGATATATATCTTTCAGAATTTAAATTTGTTCCTTTGATTAAGAAAGATGAAGCAAGTTCTGGCATTGTCTCTTGTCAGTTGGAGAAGAGACTTTGTTTTTTCTAGAAGAATGTTTTTCTTTCCTTTTTTCTCATTTTTTATTTTTTCATACTTTTTGGCCAGCATGTCGTTTTATTAAGCTGTAAGTGTTTAGCTTCAGGTTATATATATGAAGGTGGCCATTATCTCAAACACAAGCAGTTTGTGATGTTCTGTGGATTGCTACATGTGTTACACGTAGGAGCAATTAAACACGTCAAAGTCCATAGGTCAGCACAAGAACAAAATCTGCTCTTTGCAGCAGCAGCATAGAAAGCTGTCTCTTATTGGATAGTAAATGCTTTACTTATTATAGCAGTTGGGAAAATGTGCCTAGCTTGTGGTAGTTAAAAGTCAATTATTAGTTTTCTTAACTGTAACTTGTACCATGAAACTTTGAGATGAATTGAGGTCTCTTGAAAACTGTACATGTGATGTTTTCATTGTAGTCATCATATGTACATGAGTGTATGTTATTTAATTTATGCTTCTTGTACTGAGCTAGACGTTGCCTAGCCTTTAACTAAAAGATTCTGACTATTCAGTAATCGTTTGTAGTTTGCTTTGTTATGACTGTCTAATAGAAAAGTTGGTGGAGGAGGGACAGATCTCAGTGGCATCTGTAAGTGCTTCCTGATGTGCTCCATGCAAAATCATGGAAGGGTGTAAAGAAGACAGTGCCAGGCTATTTACAGTGGTGCCCAGTGACAGAACAAGAGGCATTGTGCACAAACTAACACACACTGAAGGTTTCATCCAAACATCAGTAGACGCTTTTTTTACTGGGCAGGTGAGAGAACACTTGCCGAGGTTGCCTGTTATTTTTTGGAGATCTGTAAAGACCACCTGGACATGATTCTGGGCACCCTCCTCTGGGTGGTCCTACTTGAGCAGCGGTTGGACCGGATGGACCCAGAGGTCCCTGCCAGCATCAGTCAGTCTGTGATACTGTGGCATGTATATAATACACTCAAGTACTGCGTAAATGGAGTACATATGTGTAATATACACATATACACCCAAACACTTACAGTCAGAGCTTCAGACCTCACTATGACTGTCTCAATTTTTATTGTTTTTTTCTATTTTATATATATATTTTTTAATTGATGCCCTGTGAATAATTAGGTTAAACACAGAACTTCAGATATACCTCATGAATTTCTCATCTCAGGCCTGAACACAAACCATTGATTATAGGTTCCTTTTAACTCACTAATTTACAGTAATTTTGAAGGTGGAGTGGGAACATCATTTCTTCTGCTGTTATCCTTGCTCTGGTTTTTCATCCTTAAGAGTTTCTAGCCAAACTTTAAATTTGAAGGGCTTGAAATATTTGCAGCATTGATTTCTGTAATTTCTGAGTACTGTTTCTCTTGTGAATGAAATATGTAAATAAATTCTACCTTGGAACAATTACTTGTTCTATAGTAGTTTAGACTATTTTGAATGGTGGTAAAGGCAACTGTGCTTAACAGAAGGTACTCATGTGCCTGGAGAAGGGCAGGAAAAAAAGCCCTTGCCTATGTAGGAGGAAGAATTACAATAAAAGATGTGTTCTGTTGGAAATAGAGAATTACTACATCAATGTAGTTTTGGAAGATGCATTTCTAGAGGAGGCAAAGCTTGAAAAGGCAGGCACTTAACAGTTTATCAGCAGTATACTGAATCTGTAATGCAAACAAATTGCAGTTTCTTTATAACAAGTTTTGGAATAGGGTAACTCCAAGTGAACGGCTTGTTTTATTTTCATCAGTGTATTATTCTTATGTGTTTGACTCCTCTCCATTATCCTTCAAATGCTCTGTGAGACAGTTTGGAGAAGCAGCATACCACTGTGCATTATAGTAAAACTGTATTGCTGGAGATGGAGAGAGAGAGAGCAAGGGGAGAGTGTGAATCTGGATGCAGCCAAGGTCATGGAAAATGTGGGGGAAGCTAATAAATTCCCTCAGGCTGATATTTTTGGGCTTCTTGCTTTCTTGCCCTTTCGTAGCAGAAACCATCTTGTTGCATTGTCAAGATTTTATCATGATTTCAATTTCCTTGAGATTTTTTTTTTTTTTAAACCTGGGTTCAGTAGACTGCTGTTTGGTTAAATATATTCTCTAGAAGAGCCTAAGTCTTGCTTTGAATGTTAGTTTCTTCAGTTTCTGACACTGATCTGGTACTTTGTTCACATGTCTTATTGCTAGTAAGAATTTAATTTATATCCTGAGCAGTCGGGCTGTAGTTTTGGATATCATGCCTTTCTTCCAGATCAGAGAGCTCTTTAGTACATGATATTTTCTCTGTGCAAAAATTTTATGGTTAATTGTCTCCATCTGTTTCTTTGTGCAAGAACTTTTTCTTTTTTCCCCCAAAAAAGCCACCTTCTGCAATCTCTTTGATCTTGTGTCTCATTTGTAAAATGAAGATACTAGAATTTTATGTATTGCTCCTTTGTAAGTCACATGGTACAAAAAAAAGATATAGTATTGCTGTTCTGGCATAGAAAAGCCAGATATACTGAAAGATTGCAGTGGCTCTTGTACTGTTGCATCAGGAAGTCATTGTGTTGTTCATCTCCTATTTACCAGCTTTACTTCTAGAGCTGTTGCCTGTAAGAATATAGCCTTCTGATCTCTGGGTTGCTCCTCAAGTGTATTACTCCACACTTGATTGCGTTAGCATTTGCACTGGTTAACAAAAGTTTGTTCAGGTGCTTTGGATTGATCTGTATTCAGATGCACAGTTGTAAGCAATTGACTTGCTATTTTCAGGTTGCTTAATGAGTGATGGGTCAATATACAAAGTACTTCATCTACAAATACAACTTGTGTGTTCAGGCTGTGGAAAGTGTAGAAATGCAAGAAATTATGTGTTAATGTAATGGGAACTAAAATTGTCATAGATGTAGTCTGGTGAACTGAATAAGAAAAAGCAGACTTCCTAACTGCTGACATTTCGTTACCTGTTATACTAATTGGGGGGTTGAGTTTATTACAGGATAATTTTATAAAAACACTTGTAAATAAACAGGACATCTTAGAATTTTTATTACTATTAATATATTAAGGTTGCTTTAAAATATCTGTAACTTTGCAGTGGAACAGGTTGTCCAGAGGAGTTGTAGGGGCCCCGTTCCTGGACACGTTCAAGGCTGGGGTTGATGGGGCCCTGGGCAACTTGGTCTGATGGGTGGCAGCCCTGCCCACAGCATTAATTTGGAATGAGATGGACTTCAAGTTTCATTCCAACTCAAGCCATTCTGTGATTCTACGTGTAAAATATCCACAGCCTCCAGTTTCAATAAGTCAAAAAGATGACTTAATTCTTGAAATGGCTACCATACTTCTGTTGGTAAAGACAGAATGGTCTGTCTTGCTGTCTTTTAATACCAAGCCTTATTAAAAATAAAAGATCCAGCTAAGTTACTGTTAGGCTTTTTTTTTTTTTTTTTTTTTTTTTTTTTTAAGAGACTTACTGTTTTAATATAGACTTTATGACCAAGAATGTTTTGTCTGTCTTGGTTTTCCAGTCCTCAGCTAGATAGTCCATCCATTCAGAAATATATCTTAAATCTCAATGTGCTTCTGATAGGGCTTAAATAAAATTCCAGCAAATTTTATTTTTTAGTTTTATGCGTTGTACTCTTGTTGACATAACTTTAGATGTTCTGCCATATCTCAGGGAGAAGACTGCTTTTATCAAGTAGAAATGCTGCATGTAATAGTTTTCCCAAATCTATCCCTATGTCTGCATCTCTTTAAATAAGACTTAGTTCCTCCTTCTGTTTACATTCCCTTTTGCTTTCTAGGAAAATAAGATGTCTCTGGTTTCTTACTACAGAACCCTTAATTTTTTGGTATTAGAAAAAGATCATCAAGTTGAACAGTGCACTGCTCCTTATCTTTTTTCTTCTTGTTCCATAAATTAATAACTAATGCTACCTACTCTTCTAATTTCCTTTTCTTCATTGAGAAACATACAATGGTATACTGCCATACCTGGCTTAGCTACAAATATAAAATGAAATAGAAAAGGGGTCCTGAGATACTTCCTAAAGAGAAGGGAAGAATTTGGCACAACTTAGCAGTTTCCTCTTTCCCAGCTAATTCCTTGAGTCAGTAGTGTGCCAGCAGTAAATATCTTGGTAGAACTTGCAGTAGCTCGTTTAAAGAGGCTCAAGCAGGTAGCAAACAGTCATGCTCAAATAACCAAGAGAGGGTGGATGTTTCCAAGAACTACATGTAGAAAATACTGGGGAAGACAAGAACAACCAGAGGAAGAAGTGAAGCTAATTATATTCAAACAAGGGAATAAATGATTAAAGTGACTATTTTTATCCCCAGAGAAGAAAAGCAGATAGGAGATCTTCTTGTTACATCTACCTATCTTGTTTGTGGTTTCATGTCTGAAAAGCCTTTGAATAAATGAGTCAACAAAGTAATTAAGTAACCCTTTAATGGTGAAGATGCGACCTGTTACATGGC